CTGAAAACAATGAATTAAAATCAATATGTGTACAATAAAACTAATTAGGATTCAAAAATATTTTTATTACAAAATTATTCATTTAGATAAAAGTGTTAGGCAGTGTAAAAAATCCAGCAGAAAACAAATTACAGAAAACATAGAAGGTAAAATTGATCATGCAAAGTCAGAAAAAGGCAAAAACATTGGAATAAGTGAGATTAAAAGATGTTTATTCAGAGAAGCATGGGAGAAACAGGTGCACAAAAGTGTCAAACATAAAATCAATCCTGTAAATTAATAATTTCAGTGCACAGTCTGTTAAAAAATCTGGACAGAGATGGACCTTTTTCTTGACTGACGATAAGGATTTTCTCCAAAAAATTTTAATAAATGTGAAATTTGCATCATCCCGCCAAGTCTGTTGATTACTCTGAAAACTTGAAAATTATTTAGTTACATTTTTTAACAAAAGGATTGCAAAGAACATGAAACTATATCCTTCTAATTGAACGACAACCCTCCAAACAAGCAGAAAGTCTTATTTTGTTGGACTTTGAGTYCGGTTCTTACCATTTCTCTGGGCAGGAACATGTCTTCCTGCCGCAAGACCACCAGAGAGACGGTCTCGCCCTGACGAGTGCTGCGGAGCATGCACACCAACTCCTCTTGGCCCACTCCWGTGATATCTACACCATTCACCTGTGCACACAAACACACACACACACAAATCAAAACAGATGTACTTGTTATAAGCAGCAGCGGGACACAAACTGTTCTAACCAGGGTTCCCACACCTTGGTCAACATCGAATTCAAGGACTTTTCAAGGACTTTCCAGTACCAATTTCCTCAAATTCAAGAACCACGTGTGACGGCAATTACCTCCTGCTACCCCAGAATTGCACCAATAAACACCTTTAATATCACGTAATTCAATGAAAAACTGAACAGCRYWGAAGTTGTTGAGTCAGAATCAATGAAAGAAAGTGGGTTAAATGTTGACCCTATATTCATATCCACAATACATGGACATGTAATTATGTCCTGGGAGGTTCAGCAGCTCATTTTGGGAGGAGGGGATGTGAACATGTCCAGACCCTCAGTGAGGACAGGAGGAGTTGTGGTGCTCTCACCTGGGCTCAGAATGAAAGACCCGCCCTACTCTGTGCTCTGATTGGCTAAAACTATGACTATGGCTCACGTTATTTGTTGAAAGCAACATTAGTTTACCGTAATCCTAAGTTATCAACCGCAACAAATGCACAATTTTTTTTATTTTATTATTTTATATTTATATATGTTTTTAAAGATGATGAAAATCAGTTGTGTGAATAGAAGAACTTCAATCCCCAAAAAAAAAAACATCAAGAACTTTCAAAGTCAAGAGTAATTTTTGGCTGTTTCCACAAACTTTCCAGGGCCTTGAATTTTTTTCAAATTTACAAACTTTCAAGGAYTTTAAAGACCCGTGGGAACCCTGTCTAACAGTTAGCTGTTCTGTACCTCCAATATGCGGTCACCGGACTGAAGTCGGCCATCTTTCACAGCAGCTCCACGTGGCAGAATGTTTTTGACTAAAATCGGGCCTGGACCGTGTACCGAAGAATCCCTCGTTACGACAGTAAACCCAAGACCTTCTTGACCTGGATGAACATGGATAAATAAACAAACAAAAAAAAAGTGATTATTTCAAAACTCTACATCGGACCTCTTTATGAAGTAGTCACCGGGCCAGACATGGCTCCTTTTTACATTTAATTKATCTAATTAACTTTAATTGAATTTACTGTACTCATGTCTTGAATAACTTTGAAATTTTGCTCTCTCTTGGATGTGACTTGTATTTAAATATCGTTATGAACTTTTATTGTAAATTACACTGTTTATCTATTGAAATCTGTCATAACTCATGGTCATGTATGTTATGCATGTTAACTGTATTTTTTGTCTAATTCTTTCCATCAACCTACTAGGGGACTACAGTTTAAAAATTGCCTTTTTTTTTTTTGTTAAATCTGGCATATCTATGTGATGTATTCACATTAATATGCATTGTCCCTTTATTAAATAAATTCAAATTCAAATGTAGTCCCCACAAAGTTGCCAGAATACTAMACTCATTTGTCTGAACATAGTGCTAAAGTTATACCACACATATTAGAGTTACTTCTCTACCTGAGTGTCATATAGGGTATCTGCAGGTTTTAAGGCCAATATTATGTGTTTCTTCGGCATATAGTTCTATTCTATACCATAATAAAGTAACTATGTCACCTTCAGTTGGTATTAAAATGCTGTTTGTAAGTCAAAAATAAATTGGACTTTGCATCATAGCCGTTTCTAAACACCTTGAAATTGGCCACCAGAACCTCCTACCGCTTCCGTCACGCCCATTTCTGCACATCATCACAACAGCTTTATGCTGTTTACAACCTGGAGCCTATTTTAATGTAATAACAATACAAAAAGCAGCAACATTATACAATATTGGTTTAGATAATGGCATCTCAAGATACAATTGAAACTTATGTCAGATCCAGAAAGTACAAATAATATTCTTGTTATTAGTCCACTGTTAAATTCAGTTTTGTTCAGAGATCTATCATCGATAAAGTGGCTCGCACACAACACATACATATATAGCGGGTAAAATAGGTACTGAACATGTCACCATTTTTCTCAATAAATATATTAC